CTGGCCGGTGCCCGTGTCCACCGTGGGCCTGCTGTCCGCGCGCACCGGCATCTCCCCATGAACCGTCCTGCTTGTGCGTCTGCAGAGCCCGCTGTCGACTGTTACTTCCGTCTCCTCCGCTTCTGCCTGTCCTTCCTCTCGCCCGCTTTTCAGGGAACACGGGACCTCGCCCATTTTTCCTTGTGGTTCTCGCCCAGGTTCTTGGCTGTGGGCAGTGCAGGCGCCGGCCCTGTCCACACGGGGGCGCCCTGCCCTCCTGGAGACTCAGGACCCACGGGCTGAGGGCTTGTACTTCCCTTTTCAGTGAACACGTTGTAATCGCCGGCCTCAGCCGGATGACCAGTCACTCCCACGCCCTCCCTGCCTGTCTCCGTCGTCCTCGGTCCGCACGTGAGGCCTGTTCTCCGGGGGCGCCCTTCCTTGGCCTCTGGCCGGGGCCTCTGCTGGGGCTTCGGGGCAGGAAGGGCACCGCCTCCGGGTGTGTGGCCTGTGTCCCTGCAGTGCGGACGGGGCGCCTTCATCCTGGTCCGGCCCGAGAAGCCACTCCGGGACTTGCAGGGACGCCTTCATGTGGCTGCGGTGCACGCTGCTGCGGCCCCGTGTGCGTGTGGCCCCGTGTGTGTGTGTGTGTGTGTGTGTGTGTTTGTGTGTGTGTGGCCCCGTGCGCAGCCCCCGTGCAGCCCTGTGTGTGTGTGTGTGTGGCCCCATGTGCAGCCCCATGTGTGTGTGGCCCCGTGCGTGGTCTCTCTAGGAGAGGACATGCCCAGCTTCCTGGGGTGACCTGTGACCCATGAGGCACGGCCGGGCGTGTCCATCCTGTCCCGGCCCCGGGGCCCTGGCCGGGTCCACCCTCCTGGAGGAGGAGCCCCCATGGACGGGGTGCGTCTACCTGCTGGGCGCCAGGACCAGGAGGTCAGCTGTCTGGTCAGAGTCCATGCGGGTCCCCCTGGGGGACGGGGACGGGGGGACAGGGGGACTTTGGCCTCATGAACTCGCCTCGAGCGCCATCGGGGCTCATGGTCACTCAGTCTATTCCTGCGTGTTTCCCTGTTGTCTTATTTCGGTTCTGGAGTTTCTGTAGGACAGAGCCCTAGAGGGGAAGTCACTTGAGCCAAACGTACACATTGTAAGGCCAGACTGCCTTCCGGCAACACCAGCGGGTGATGGGTACCACCAGCCGTGGGGGGCCGTGGGCGGCCCTGCCTGGGGGGCTGCCGTGGCCCCGCCCCATCCCTCAGGGCGCGAGAGAGACACTGAGAGCCAAGGAGGCCCCGACCGGGCCTGAAAGAGCCTGACGTCTGTTTAAAACCTCAGATCAGGATGGGGGGGGGGGGGGGCCGGGGGCGGGGGGCCTGCAGTG